CACAGGCACACTCATCCCGCATGCTGGTGTGTGGTCGACTCACACAGGCACACTCATCCTGCATGCTGGTGTGTGGTCGACTCACACAGGCACACTCATCCCGCATGCTGGTGTGTGGTGGCCATGCATTTACTTCCATCTCTTTGTTACTCTGGACACACAGCCCTGCTGGGGACCAGGCTGGCCTAGCTGCAGAAACGATTACACTAGGCTCTGCACCGGGAGCTAGGTATTGGAGGCACCAATTCCAGCTGACTGACCACTTGCAGTGGGTCCTGCCATGTCCACCTCCTATCCTGTCTTGAAAGATGCCAGCTAGTTTCTCCTCCATCTGGCATGGAGACACACACCATCTGTTCATCCCTCTCTTGGACCAGCTGGATTTGCACATACCACAGGCCACGTCCTGAGTCCCCTCCCATGGCTGGTCTGCAGCACATGGCCACATTACCTCTCTGGTGACCTTCCCACTGTTGTCAAAGTCATAGAGCGTGAAGGTCCATTCTTGGCGGTTGTCCTCCTCCACCGAGACATCACACTGCAGGGCCTGCAGGTGGCAGATGGGTCGGGTGGGGAAGTGGCGCTCGGACCAGGGGCCAGGAGTCTGCCCTGCAACTGCCGGGTCTTCATGTTCACCAGACAAGGGGACCACAACCCCAAGGGGCTTTCTACCAGAAATTTCCATGGGATGTGACTAGGCTCTCCCAGCCAGGAAAGGGATCTAAAGGCACAGCCAGAACCTCCAGACTCACCTCACCCTAGCCTAACGGCACCATTCCTTGTGAGCATCTAGCTCCAAGCCCTGGACTGGGTTTGCCTACTGCAGGCTGCGTCCCTGCCCACGGTGGCCAGCACTGCCCGTGAGCTGTGTCCCCGCTCACAGTGGTCAGCATGCATTGCACATGGACCATCAGCTGTCAGTCCAGAACCCAGACTTAACATCAGAGGTGATGTGCTGCTCCCAGAAGTCCCTGGACTCCGTGCAGTCTTCGCTGACACCCGTGGGGCTGAGCACATCGACCTTAAGTGCCTCAGACATTTTAGTGTTGCACAAACAGACTTAGTCCACTTTGGAGTGATCCCTGCACTACCACTCAGCTTCAGTTTCTCTGTGATGCCTGGAACTGGCTGAGCTACCAGAAACCATGGGCTGGAAGCACCCAGAATCCAGGCAGGCGCCGGGCCTCGGGCGCCCACGGGGACCCACGCGGGGCCTGGCCCGAGCGCCCACTGGGGACCCACACAGGGCCTGGCCCGAGTGCCCACTGGGGACCCACGTGGGGCCGGGCCTCAGGCACCCACCGGGGACCCAGGCATGTGCCCATATGGTAACAGAAGGCAGAGACTTACGTCGATGTTCAGGCTCTTCCTTCCTGTTCCCCGTGGACCCTCACAGCTCCCGGTCTTCTCCCCGTCCTCTGTGCCGATGAGCTGTCCTGTCCCCTTGTGGCCCTCGGCCTTCTCGGGGGGCACTGCCACTGGGGTATGAGAGGTTGGGGGTGGGCCTGGTGCCCGTGGGTATGAGGACACAGGTCTGGGTTTCTGCCCTGGCCAAGCCTCTGGCTGCTTCCAGCTGGGCAGGTGGAATGTGTCCCTTTTGAGCCAGGTGCCCATGGGTCAGCAGGGAGAGGTCTTGCTGAGCCCTTTCCCCTCCCGGCAACCCCAGCCAGGTGCCCCCTCCGGCCAGCTCCCCAGTGCCCATCGCGCTCCTGCAGGGGGCAAAAGGTCCTTGGGGTGGCTGAGGTGCGGGGGAGTTGGGGGAAGGCCCTGCGCGGGGCTCCCTCCCCCTCTGCGCCCCAGCACCCGGTGCCATTGCCCCGGGGCCCAGGGCAAGGCTGTAGTGGGCTCTTGGTCAGCTGACGGCCTTGCCTGCTGCAAGGTGCCCCCGGTGCTGGGCCTTGTTTGTTCTCTGGGTCCCAAGCCAAGTTCCCAGATGGCAAGCAGGCCTGCTGGAGGAGCTCGGTGCAGTAGGAGTCGGGAGGAGGGAGGGGCCCTGGAGCGCCAGGCCGTGCCCGCAGCGGCTCGTTCCAAGGTGGGCTCGCTCCACCAAAGACATGCACAGCAGTGCGTCGCGGGGGGCGGGAGCGCCGCTCCACACTGCAGGGACCCCGGCACACCAGCCAGGAGTTGGCTCAGAATTCACAACCGTCTGTGCACAGAAGCCAGCTCCCCTGCCACTCCTGGAATGCGTGGGGACGCCGGCTCTGTCTGCTCCTCTGATGGAGGCCTGTGCAGCCTGCTCCGGGCAGGGCCTCAGGAGCCGTGCACCGCTCTGAAGCCTGGGATGCTCATACTCGCACTGAGCGTCTGAGCTGTGCGACTCACACAGGAGAAGCCTGGGCGGTGCGGGAAGAGCAGCCACGGAAGCCACACTCACCTAGAGGCCCCTGTTCCTCTCGAAAAGGCCCGTCCTTGGGGTCCCCACTGAGCAGCCCCTGCAGGAGAACACCGCCGTGAGTGACCATCGGACAGGTGTGGTGTGTGAACTCACACCAGAAAAACCACCCTGTGCAGTGATTGGGGCGGGCAGTCACTGCCGGCAATAACTGCTGGTTGAGACGCAGTATCCCCCTGCCACAGCCCTAAACGCAAGAGGCCAAGAGTCCTGAGCCCGCCCGGCCTCCGAGCCCGCCCGGCCTCTGACCCCTGGCCAGCCTGCAGCACTTCCCGCCAACGCTGTGCCCCTGGTGTCTGGGAGCCCAGGGCACCTGCCGGAGCAGCCATATGGCTGGCACCGCTTCCAGGACCAACCACCAGGGGGCGCCCGTCAGCCCACAGCTGACCTCAAGTCAAGTCATGGAAAAATGGGAAACACTTCAAACACATCCAAGCAATGCTTCAGCCAAGAAACTGCAGCACAGAAGCTCACGTGGTTCTCATAAATAACCCACAGAGGCGAAGGGTAGGAGAAGAGCACAGAATGAGCCCAGGGGTGCTGTTTGCTGCCAAAGGGCCTGGGGTGGGAACGTGGAGCCCAGCCCCTCACTGAGGACATGATGAAGTCCACACACTGCCCAGATCCTCTCTGAGGACATGATGATGTCCACACACTGTCCAGCCCCTCATTGAGAACATGATGTCCACACACTGCCCAGCCCCTCACTGAGGACATCATGATGTCCACACACTGCCTAGCTCCTCTCTGAGGACATGATGATGTCCACACACTGTCCAGCCCCTCATTGAGAACATAATGTCCACACACTGCCCAGCCCCTCACTGAGGACATCATGATGTCCACACACTGCCCAGCTCCTCATTGAGACCATGATGTCCACACACTGCCCAGCCCCTCACTGAGAACATGATGTCCACACACTGCCCAGCCCCTCACTGAGGACATCATGATGTCCACACACTGCCCAGCCCCTCACTGAGGACATGATGATGTCCACACACTGCCCAGACCCTCACTGAGGACATGATGATGTCCACACACTGCCCAGCTCCTCATGGAGGACATGGCAATGCCTGACCATTCTGGTTTCTCACTGACTGGACACAGGGCACCAACCCAGGGGCTCTGGGTATTTGCAGGATACAGAGGAAACATGACCCTTCTCAAACCCAGGAAAGTGTCCCCAGCTTGTTGTTTCTGAGGCTTGGCAGGAAATGCAAGAAGACATTAACAACAAACATGGACAGACCAATTATTCTACAGGCTGCTGGGAAGAAGACCAGGAGACACTCAGGTACAGTGAGAGAGAGGGGGAGGGAGGGATGGAGGGAGAGGGAGGGAGGGGGAAGGAGAGAGAGAGGGAGGGGGAGGGAGAGTGAGAGAGAGGGGAGGAGAGGGAGAGGAGCCACAGCAGGACTCGGCAGCTGCCTCGTGTGCCCCTGAGGGGGGCCGGGATGCCGGATGCTCCCATGCCCTGGGCAGGGAGAGGGGTCTCTCAGGGTGGACAGAGCCTCATGAAGATACAGTGCCCACCACGCAGCCGCTCCTCCCACACTCCCTCCGCACGCCACCATCTTTGGAGGTGCCCCGGCCCCCCAAATCCCAGTTGCAACGGGAATGTGTGAGGGTCATGTGAGAGCAGGGAGAGCCCCCTGGGAGGAGGCAGATCCCGCCCCGTCTCTAGAGCCCACTCCAGCACCCCATGTCCCAGGCCCCCGTGTGTTGGACCCACCAGGAAAATGTTGCTTGTGGAGTTTGGCCTCAGGATTCCTTTTGGAGGGTCATGCCAGAGCCCATTTTAGTAAGAGAATATAGCTATCAAAAAGCACTCAGCCAGATGTTGGTGGCCCACACCTCTAATCCTAGATACTCAGGAAGCTGAGATTTGAGGATCTCGGTTCAAAGCCAGCCCAGGCAGAAAAGTCCATGAAGCTCATCTGCAATTATCTACCAAACAACAAGCTGGAAGTGGAGTTGCGGCTCGGGAAGCACAGCGCCAGCCTTGAGCAAACAGGCTCCAGGACAGTGCCAGCCCCGAGTTCAAGCCGCAGGACCCGGGGAGCAAAGCACTCTTTCCCTCTCTAATCGTACAGTGCCTGACCAAGGTCCTTGGCATCTGCCCCAAGCAGAGCAGAGGCCTCTTGGGTGAGGACTTTCTAACTTCTCGGGGGCTCCATGGCGGGAGGGCTCGTGGGTCTCATGCCAGGCTAGACACTGCAATTCAGGGACGGACACCTGGCCCATCACAGGGTGCGCCACTGTCCAAGGCCGGCAGGGAAGGCCACTGCTGCCGGTGCCCGGTGGGCTGGCTGAGATTCCACACCCACCTCAGAAGTCCTGCTGGCTTGCCCCAGACATGCCGGCGGGCAGGGAAGGGCGGGAGTCTGTGCACAGCGTGCACACACAGCACTTCTGAGGCTTGGCCCTGCTCAGGCCAATGGCCGGAAGGCCTGGATCCTGCGTGACTGGTGTCTCTCACCATGCCACAAGCAGGAGTGAGACACAGCCAGGCGGGACGCTGCAGACGCATCCTGGGAGCGCCGCGCCCCCTCGGCCTGGTCCGAGCCCTGCAGCCCTCTTGAATGAGAAGCAGCTTCTAGAAAGACACTGGGAGTCGCAGACTCTGGAGGGTGCCGTAGCTCCTGGTGAGACCAGAGGTACAACCGACATATGGGAGCCCCGAGCTGGCTACACGCGGTGATCACAGCACAGGCCACAGGGAGAGGAAGAGAGCCAACCCTGAGCACTGGCTTCGGCATGGTTACAGATCAGAGTATAATGAATGGATGGTAGATGGATGGGTGGGTGGGTAGATGTGTGGATTGGATGGATGGATGGATGGATGGATGGATGGATGGATGGATGGGTGGATGGGTGGATATGTAGATGGGTGGATGGATGGATGGATGGATGGATGGGTGGATGGATGGGTGGGTGGGTAGGTGGGTAGTTGGATGGATGGATGGATGGATGGGGGGGGTGGATATGTAGATGG